GTCGATCGGTCGGTCGATCGATCGATAGATAGGTCGGTCGGTCGGTCGGTCGGTCGGTCGGTCGGTCGGTCGGTCTGTCGGCTTTATTGTCTGTCCCAAAGTTGACAGGAAATCATCTTTGACAGGGCTCCATGTTAAAAACATATATTCAAAAATAAGTTAAAAAAAGCAAACATCATTCATACTTTGCACATGGAGACCCCACCAAGACCTTCCAAAAACTAGCAGTGCTTTGGCCGATTTCTTTTCGACATGGTAAACAGACTGTCATCCAGTGTGAAAGGGGCCTGTGACATCACAACCAACTAACACACAGGACATTTAACACTGGATTTTACAAGTGTGCATAACGTTTGGTTTTTTTATGTTTTCAGTTTTAACTGAGACATGTTTTCTGTACAAATATGACATCAAATCCAGGCATATAAATGCAACATGAGCAGTGATTAAAGGCCGTTTATCACCAGGTCAGTTTGTGCTTTATAATGTGATGGCGACACTTCACTGTGCGTCTTCTTTTGTGAGTTTTCAGTGACTAATTTTCGACCTTATGACCCACCAAACTTACAGCCCCGTACTTTTGTATATTTCCAAGCTAACTTTTGAAGAAAAGATTAGATTAAACCCATTAAACCAGTTCTTGTTTGCAGTTGGCTGATGCCAGCACACTTTGTTCAGTTTTACAAAACTACACTTCCAAACAATCAGCAAACTCAGCCGACATCATCTGATCCCTCTCAACCCTCCCAGATGTTTCCCTCATCCTTCTGTGCTTATGAGCCTCCTTCACTATTACTGTCATATGATCTTTGATGTCTTTGATTCTTCAAACAATATTGATGAGATTAAAAAAAATAAAAAATGTGAAATAAAACTTTTACTAATCTCACCTGTTTTATGTTGTATGCTTGTATCCTTATTTGTCAACAAAAATGGTATAATCTGTAAAGGGTAAAGCAATTTAGGGAAATACAGATTTTAATTAGAGAAACCTAGCCTGGTAAAAACCAGACGCTCGTCCTTCACTTTGCTTCGTACGAGGGTCTGGACTCTCAGCTATAGAGAAGTGATACTTTTTTTGTGTGTGTCACTTCAGTAGAAAACGAAACCAAATATTAGTTTATTTTGTTTATTTCCTCATCATCAGTGACTTTTTTAAGTGAAGAGAAAATTGAGACAGAGAGAAAAACAGAGAGAGAAGTAATTAGAAAGATTAAAATAGCGATTAGAAGTATATTAAATATACACCAAC